GCCTGGGTCAAAAGAGGATCCCTGGGCCCGAGAAGTCTCACTCACTTGCCGGGCCTGCGCTCCGGGTCTGTTCAGGATCCCACCCGGCCCTGGTCCTCTCACTCATTCGCCAGCCTGCGCTCTGGGTCTGTTCAGGATCCCGCGGCCTGGGTCGTCTCACTCACTCGCCGGCCTGCGCTCTGGGTCTGTTCAGGATCCCGCGGCCCTCGGTCGTCTCACTCACTCGCCGGCCTGCGCTCCGGGTCTATTCAGGATCCCGCGGCCTGGGTCGTCTCACTCACCCGCTGGGCCTGCGCTCTGGCTCTATTCAGGATCCCGCGGCCTGGGTCGTCTCACTCACTCCCGGGCCTGCGCTCCGGGTCTCTTGAAATGCTTTAGAAGCATATCCAAATGTAAGATTTGAAAGAGAGAGAATGGTTATCTCATTAAATTATCTAATTTTTTAATTTAATTTGTGCAAATTTTGTCTCATCAATCTGAAAAATAGATTTTTAAATTGAAATGTATATACTCTCAGTAGCTTAACAAAAGATTGCTTTATGCTTTCTATATAAATTTTGGTGACATTGCTACAAATGTCTTTCTTTTCATCAGGAATTGAACTGTCCAAAAGGAAGCAGAACAGCCGGTTCCATGTGTTCCCCAACGGAACTCTATCCATCCAGAAGGTCAATATTCAGGACCGTGGACAGTACCTGTGCTCAGCATCCAATCGTTTTGGCACGGACCGCCTTCACGTCACCTTGTCTGTGGTTTCCTATCCCCCCAGGATCCTAGAGAGACATACCAAGGAGATCACAGTTCATTCTGGAAGCACTGTGGAACTGAAGTGCAGAGCAGAAGGTAGCCCTAGCCCTACAATTTCCTGGATTCTTGCAAACCAAACACTGGTCTCAGAAGCATCTCAGAGAAAGACCCGGGCCCTGATAACATCTGATGGAACACTGGTCATCCACAATCTAAGTATTTATGACCGTGGATTTTACAAATGCATGGCCAACAACCCCGCTGGCCAGGACTCGTGGCTGATTAAAATACAAGTCATTGCAGCTCCTCCTGTTATTCTAGAGAAAAAGAGGCAAGACATTGTGGGAATTCAGGGTGAAAGTTTGACACTGCCCTGCACTGCAAAAGGAAGTCCTCAGCCCACTGTTCATTGGGTCCTTTTTGATGGCAGTGAGGTAAAACCATTGCAGGTTGCTAATTCCAAGTTGCTCCTGTATTCAAATGGGAGTCTGCATATAAGAAACATAGTTTCTGCAGATGCAGGCACTTATGAGTGCATTGCTACCAGCTCCACAGGCTCAGAGAGAAGAGTGGTAATTCTTACAGTGAAAGAAAAAGAGACCATTCCTAGGATAAAATCTGCCTCCCAGAAATGGACTGAGGTGAATGTGGGGGACGAGTTACTACTGAATTGCTCAGCTACAGGGGAGCCCAAGCCCAAAATAATCTGGAGGTTACCATCCAAGGCTCTTGTCGAACAGTGGCACTGGTAAGCCCATATCTTTGTGTTGGAATTATCTGGTGTATCTGTTTATCTGCACATGTGAAATGGAAAAAATGATACAGTACAGCTAGCAGAAAAGTTTGCAAATGCATTGACTGCGCTCAAAGGCAACTCATGCTAAAGAAACCTAATCTATTTCAGATCATCGGAATACAAAAACTAATCCTACATGCTGAATTTTAAGGATCAAATTCTTGAGTTTATGTAGTTAAATAAGAGACAAATTAGTCTCATTTGCCTCCATACCTTTTAACAGTTTTTTAAACTGGTAGCTGTGTAAATGCATTCACAATTTCTATATACAAAAAAAATTTTTTTTCCATGATGTGTTGAAGTTGTAGAGGAACATTCTCCATTGCATTCCTCAGAGCTCCTACTAGACATGTGAATCTTTATTTTACTCAATAATTTCCTCTTTTCTAAAACTGCAAAACATTTTAAAAATGTCATAGTATTGGGGGCCGGGGAGATGGCTCAGTGGAATAAGCGCTTCCCTGGCAAGCGCAAGGGCCTGAGTTCAATCCCCGGTTCTGCAGGAAAAACAAAAAAAGTCATAGTATTAAGACCTTCACAAAGTGAAGAGTATGCAGGACCTCCACCACGCTGATCTTCTCAAACCTACAAATACACACAACTTTCTTTAATATGTTCTTTTATAGGTATGTAAATGTTCATGTAATAGCTGATTTTGGTATAGATTAAATCCTAGTTTTGAAAAACAATTTTAGCTTAGAAGTCATTAATTTTGCTATTTGCAGAACTTTGTGAAATTATTTTCCATAGCATGGCAGGGAAAAGATGATGATCAAACAGTATATAGCATTTGTGATTTTATTTTCCCACTAATAGAAAATATCCATGTAGAATAAATTGTATATAATGGAAATAAATTTATATGTATGCTTGGAACTTGAAGAATATATTATCTAGTGTCAGAATGAGTTGGTAATAAATAAAATTGATGGCTTTACCTTGTGATTTTTAAAACTCAAAAGTAAATGTTAATTTTCAATTTCAAATAAGTCATCAAAATTACCTAAGTGTTAAGTTACAATCAGTTTGAAATTAAAAATTTTAAATGATGAGCTATGGAATTTAAACATTACAAATCACATGTTTGTATCTGCAGTCCACCACAATATGTCCATTTATGACTTTTAATATTTTAAGGTATTATTTATCAGCTTTTACATTTAATTTCACAGTATCAACCCTTTCTTTTTGCCTTCAGATTATCATAAGCAGTTTATTAGTATTAATTACCACTCATTAAATTAATGCATTTAAAATAAACCTCACAGTACATGAGAGTGAGTCACACTTACCTAGAGACCACTCATTATTATTTGAACTTTTATTTTTTATTTGTACTTCTAGATATAAATTCTACTATCCATGTAGAAACCAATGCAATAAAGATGAAAATTACATCCTTGCGGTAGAAATTACAGATGAAGGTGAAATTTAGGCAGTTCCACAATCTGGGAATTTACTGAGCATCAATTTAATTTTGACAATACAAATCTTTTATCAAGAATTAAGACAATGTCTTTAAAAGGCCCAAAAGATATTGGAAAAGAACTCTAAAACACATATTAGCATTCAAAATAAGTACTGGCTAGGTATTCCAAGAAATTCACTAGAATTAAATAACAAAGAAATGTGGCAGGCTGTTTATATTTTGCTTTGGCGAAATACTTGTAGAACATACAAATATGTTGCATTGTGGAATAGGTACAACTTTGTGTACGATTGTAACGATATTGTTGGCCCACTAGAGGAACTGTATCCTACTTTTTATAAGGAAATAGAAAGCAGAAACTTCAATGATCATGTTGTAAGTAACCTCATAAAAGCAAGCTTAATCAGAGTTGTGATGGTTTTTCTCACTTTTACTATTTAAATTCCACGTTCTAGTCCTGAGCAGTGGGAAGATTAAGATTTTATATGTCAGCAAAAAAAACAACAAAAAAAAAACAAAAAAAAAAACAAACAAAAAAAAACCTGTTTTATTACAAGACAGAACATTCCCCAATCTTAATCTTCACAATTTGAAGGAATAGAAGTTGGAATTTAGGATCTGAAAATGAAAAAAACCAACCACAGCTATGATGGCACACATCCCCTACTTGCCCCAAATGAGCAAATTCTTTATAGTCTTAAAATCTACTTTTCATCTGAACCAGAAAGCATGTTGTAGATTTTTGTAAAAAAAAAAAATGGTCCCAGACCCAGCACTGCTAGTTTGTCTCCTTACTTTCAGTATCACTTATGTGATCTATGTGTCAGCTCACAACTATTTTCTTTCCTCTGGAACTTCGTTCCCTGTACTTGGAAGCTTGTCACGGTAAATCAAGTCAGGCTCCATGCAAAACCATTGAACCAGGATCCACAGTGTTTACTAAAGCATCCTCAGGTGAATCAAATGCAAAGGAAATTTGAAAAGCAATGCTCTTGAAAGGCTGAAGATGTTTGCTTTTGCATTCATTTAAAAAATTTTAGTTATCTGATTTTCATTTTTAATTAGTACATATTTGCAGAACATAACAATTGCCATTGAATTCATTGTGTGGAGTTGATACTGAACATACACATGTAGTACCAGTCCTTGTTTATGTTTTTTTAAGAGAATACAAAGTATCAAAACAGAAAAATTATAACTGATACAGAATTTCACTAAACAAAATATGAATTTTACAGTATGTTTATTACAGTGTTGTCTTCAAATTAGTCGTTCGTCTCACCAGATATATGCATGCAAAATTGGAAGAAGAAAGAGTTTAAAGTGAAGGCTTTCATACCAGTATTTTTGATGACACAATTGCCTGCATGTTTTATGAAGTATATATTCAATTATTCAATATATATATATATATATATATTGCATTAATCAAAGTGGTATCTTCATGTGTTCAAACATTAATCATTATGTGCTGAGAATTTTGTACTCATGTAGTCACTTAGAAGTACATCATAGATTGCTTTAACCAGTAATTACCCTACCATGGTCACAACCCCTCCTCGTGCTTCAGTATCCACTACTGAACTTCTCTACATCACTTCTCAGCACCTTGTGATCATAATTCTACTTTCTATGGAATTTTTTAGGTTACACCAGAATATGTATGTATCTTTCTGTTCTGGTTGATTTTTTTAACATAATAATCTCTAGTTCTATCATTGTTGCTGTCACGGCCACACTTCCTTTATCCATTCACCCACAGACTGGTGTCCAGGTTGGTTCCATATTTAAGCTAATGTGACCAGTGCCAAAATAAAATGGTAGTGTATATAATCTTTTTGGTATAATGCTTCCATCTCCTTTGACAATATGCACAGTATTGAAACTGCTGGATCATATAGTATTTTACTTTTAGTTTCTAAAGTGATCTCCACACAGTTTTCTATAATGGTCTTACTAATTTCCTTGTTCACTCTCAGCATTTAACAGTTTCCCTGTCTCTGCACCACTGTCAGTGCCTGGCATCTCATTTCTTTTCCTTTTTATGACAGCCACTCTGTCCTGGCAGGATCATATGTCATTGTATTTTTCTCATCACTGAGCCACAGTGCCCAACACCTGCAACTGAAGGAAGGATAGGTTTATTTGGTTCATATTTCAATTTACAGTTGGCTGGCCCCAAGACAGAATGACATGACAGAGACACAGAGATGGGGGTGGGAGGGAAGGATGGATAAAAAGAGGGTGCTGCTAATGCCATGCAGCAGGGAAGCAGAGTCAAGGGAGAAGCTAGGGAGGAAGCTATATCCCCTTGGGTACAGTGACCTGCCTCTTCCAACTGGGCCCTACCTCATAACAGCCATATGCCTCCCAAATCCAGGCATCTTACAAACCCCACTACAAGGCTCTTTGGGAATACTTGGATGTACACAATATATAATATTCTGTTTCAAGCCCTCACAAGACTCTTGCACAACCTGTTACGTAACATGAATCTCTAAGAGGTGCCAAAGTCCTAATAATTCTAGGATTGCTGAAAGGTCCAGGTTCGAAGTGTCTTGAGACTTAAGGCAAACTCTTTGCCGAGAGCCCCCGTTCAACTCAAAAAGAAAGTTAAACACAGCTGACACACAAGGGCACAGGATAAACATTTTCATTCCAAAATGAAAAATAGGAGGACAGAAAGAAATCAGAACAAAAAAAGACTGAAAACCAGCAAGTCAAACATAAAATCCCAAGGTTCCATGTCCAGGACCCAGGGAAAGCTCTGTCAGAAGGTTAGTACATTACATATTATCTTTAAAGTAGTTGCTCAAGGGATAAGATATGGGCATAAAATTTTCTCCAATCAATATTAGCATGAATTTTGCTTTTTAATGAACTAAGACAGTAATAGTATAACTTGCATTTTCGCCCCTTTCCCTTCTCCTCCTTCCTAGTTCCTTTTGAAGAATTTCTTCCCATTTTGCAGTATCTATTGTATGTTTTGGATTTTTTTTCCCTCTTTCAGTTTCTTACACTAGGGAGGCAATATGATGTTTACTCATGTGAGTCTGGTTTATTTTACGTAAATATTTTACTGATTATGTTCTCTAGTATCATCTATTTAGCTATAAAAGTGCTTTTTATCTTTCTTTGTAGCTGAGTAGCACTCTATTGTATAAAAATACATCTTTTTATCCATTTATCAGTTGATGAGCATTTGGGTTGTGGGAATCTGAGATGAATACACATTTCTTAGATGAAGAAATGCAAATTGAAAATAAATATACAAAAAATGTTCAATATCATTGGTCACTTGAGAAATGCAAATTAAAACAACACTGAGATTCCATCTCCCCCGCAGAAAGAAAGGCTATTGTAAAAAAATAAAATAAAATAAAATAAAATAAAAAATAACAAATGCTGATAGGGCTGTTGGAAAAAAGAAACCCTTCTCCACTATCGATAGGAGTGTAGTGTAGACTACTGTGGAAATCAGTGTGAAGATTCTTCAAAAAAGTAGGACTGCAGTTCTCATTTGACCCAGCTATTTCTCTTCTTGGTATTTTTTCAGAATAATTTAAAACATTATACCACAGTGATATATGAGCATCCATGTTTATAACAGCATACTCTGCAATAGCTAAATACAGATCTAAGATTGCCAGTGCTTTACTATTTTGGTTATTAGAGCTTTGTGTTATGTTTTGGTATCAGATATTTTGATGCCTCCAGTTTTGTTTTCTTCTTAGAATCACTTTGACTTGACTATTATAGTTTTTGTAGTTCCACATTCATTTCAGGTTATTTTTCTATTTCTGTGAAGAAAACCATTAGTACCATGATTTGCTGTATATAGATCACTTTGGGTAATAAGTTCATTTTAACAATATCAATTTCCCTAACCCATGAACATGTGTATTTTTGTCCCATAAAATGTCTTTCAGCAGTGTTTTATGAATTTCAGTGTCGACCTTTTATTTCTTTGGTTAACTTTATTACTGAATATTACATTTTGGTAGCTGTTGTGAATGAGATTGCTTTTTTGCTTTTTCAGCAAGTTCATTATTGATGTATTAAAATGCTACCATTTGTATTTTTGTTTCTGGTATCTTTATTGGTGAACTTTAAAAGCTTTTTGATAGAGAATTTAAGTTTATCTAGGCATAAAATCATGGGACACCATCTAAAAATGTGTACAATTTATCTTCTTTCTAATTTGATCGCCTTAACGAGATGGACATTTTTGTCTTGCTCCTAGCCACAGAAGAAATGCTTTCAACTTTTTCTTGTTCCATATATTGTTTGTGGTTTTCATATATACGGTTTAATATTTTATGTTGCTTTATTAATAATTTGCTAGTTCATATTATGAAATGACATTGAATCTTAATGCTTTTTTTAACTGAGTGATCCTACGGCATTTCCCTTTGATTCTGTTGGTGTGTTTCACCACGTTTATTGATTTGATCATACCAAATTACCCTTGCATTACTGGGATGAATCCCACTTGATCATGGTGTATGATTTTTTTTTTTTGACTAATTGTTGAAAGTGGTTTGCTAGTACCATCTTGAGAATTTTTCATGTGTTCATCAAGGATATAGGTCTATGGATTTCTTTTTATCTGGTTTTATTATCAGAGTAGTGCTGGCCTTGTGAAGACTTCAGTAAAGTTCCTTCTATTTAGATTTTCTGGATTAGTTTAAGAAGAATTGAATTTAGTTCAAATGTTTTGTAAAACTGTGCATGCAATCCATTAGGTTCTAGAACATTTAAGATAGTAACTTTTAATTACTATTTTAACATTACTCATTATTACTGTCTATATCTCTTATTCTTGATTTTTTTGCTAAGTTTTGTGTGTTCAGGAATTTATCTTTTTCTACGTTTTTCAGGTTTTTGTGTATGTGTTCACACAACTTCAATATTGTATTCACATGTTATAAATTGTAATGTCTCACTTTTCACCTCTGATTTTAAGCTCTCTCCTCACTCTGGTCCCTCTCTTTTAGTCTAGCTAAAAGTCTGTTAACCTCTTCAATTTAGATGCAATTTATTTCTAAAGAATTTTACTGACCTCAGGGAGAACTTCCTTCCAAAGTAAATTCTCCCAGTGTTTACAAGAGGGACTAGGTGTATGTCACACAGAGTCCTTCCATATTGCACCCTTCGTGTGTCAGGTTTGGGGTTATGGCGGGCACTCCAAGTCAGTGATGGTCAAGGGCAGTCTCCCTGCTTGTAGCATTAGTGCTGTCCAACAACTTGTTCAACCAGAGCCCCTGCTTGTTTGAAGGCTCTGTGTTAAAAGTCTCTGGGGTGATTTTGGTCTACACTAAAACTGGAGGCTACTTTTCAAACTTAACTGTTATTAAGTAACCTGGGAAGCTGTTACACAATGAATTCCTAGGTCCCAGGCCAGATCTATTGAAGCAGAATCTCTGGAAAGTGAAACTAGGTAACATGCTTCCTAAATTCAACCCACTGACAAAAATCAGAGGCAGTGAAACTGATGTTTGGATGGGCCTAGCACACTTTAATAAAACTGATGCTCAAGGCACACCCCACGCCGTTTAGGTCAAACACTTCAGATGTGGGATCGAGGCACCAGTATTTAAGACGCCACAAGTGACTGTAATGTATGGTGACAACTAATGATTTTAGAAAGCACTAGCAAATAAAAAAATAGCAGGAAACAATAACAGCAGGTGGAAGTGTATGTAGCACTGTGAAAACATAGAGGACAATCCTAACTTAGGCAAAGTTAATAAATCTGTCAGGTTTTCAATTGCCTAAGGGGGGAAATACTTGAAGTTTTTAAACATCAGTGCAAAGCAACTGGTGGTTTCTTTTTACTAACACATCCCTAATGAAGAGCTCACCTTTATGTGTATGTGAGACAAATTCCTTCCACATGAGAAAAACAAAACCACCACCCATACGTTCTACAGTGTTCTATATACAGTACTTTCCAAAACTTACGTGGGTAGAAAATAGTGCAAGGTTGTTTAACTTGCAGTTTTCAGTTTCATTTCATGTTGGAAAAAAATAAAAATTCACGCACATGGATTTTCACTTGTGTCTTTTTTATCCTATTTTCTAGCATTAGCTCAATTTCCAGTGATCTTTCTGAAAACTAGGTTTAATTTTTAAGGACCATCCTGCCAGCTGGTGGTGAAATGTAGTAACAGCAGGTTCTGTGATTAAAGTTGGAGAAAAAACATCATTTCACTTGCCTGTAGAGGAGAGACGCTGTGGGTAGATTCTAGTAACTAGTACATTAGCATCCTAAGAAAAATAGAACTCACTTTATCCAAATGGCTAAATAATTGCTTTGACAAATACCTTCCTGAAAAGACTGAGGGAATAAATTTAATATTAAAATTTATATGAAGTTACGTTTTTCTTTACCAATATAGATCATGAAATGGCAATTTTTATGGGCTCAACAATCTGATATACAGAATGGTAAAGGAAGTTGTAGTGTCTCAAAGTCTATGTGAAAAACATTCCTCTTGCCATTGGAATGCTTGAAAAGTCATCAGGAAAAGGAGATTTATTTGCAGTCCATGGGATATACCTCTTGTTTGCACTAAACTGTATTTATGTAATTTTATCTTTCAGCAAATGGTTAAAAAATAGCAAGCTAGGACTGCCTTAATTTTTTACTGCAGCTGTTTAAATGTCCCTAAAACTAATCCCACAAAGGCAACTTGAGGGGTAAGAAAGGCTAATGAGCTTCCTCATTTCATAGTGTGTATGTGCACTGAAACACCACACTGTACAGCTTTAACGCATTGTAATCTAATATGCACCAATAAGGCTTGGAGAATGAGCCCATATAAATAAGGCAACTTCTAGATCATATTATACCCTGTAAATGTGTAGTTTGTAATGTGTCACTTTTAAGTCTTTAAGAAAAAAATCCCTTCCCACTGCTGATAGCGGTACACTCAAACGTCTCTCTTTTCTCCTCAGGCTGGGCAGCCAGATCCAAGTCTACCCCAATGGATCACTGTTTATTGGCTCTGTAACAGAAAAAGATGGTGGGGACTACTTGTGTGTAGCAAGAAACAAAATGGGAGACGATCTCGTCCTTATGCATGTGAGCCTGCGGCGAAAACCTGCCAGAATTGACCACAAGCAGCATTTCAAAAAGCAGGTGCTCCACGGAAAGGATTTCCAAGTGGACTGTCGCGCTTCCGGCTCCCCAGTGCCCGAGATATCTTGGAGTTTGCCGGATGGAACAATGATAAACAAGGCAATGCAAGCTGATGACAGTGGCCACAAGAACAAAAGGTACACGCTTTTCAACAATGGAACCCTTTATTTTAACAAAGTTGGGATTGCAGAAGAAGGAGATTATACTTGCTATGCCCAGAATACCTTAGGGAAGGATGAAATGAAGGTTCACCTTACAGTGATAACAGCTGCTCCACGAATAAGGCAGGGTTACAGGACAACCGTGAGAATCAAAGCGGGAGCCACAGCCGTTCTTGACTGTGAGGTCACTGGGGAACCCAAACCAGAAATATTTTGGTTGTTGCCTTCTAATGACATGATTTCATTCTCGAGTGACAGGTATGTGTTTCATGCCAATGGCTCTTTGTCTATCAACAAAGTGAAACTGCTTGATTCTGGAGAGTATGTGTGTGTGGCCCAAAACCCCAGCGGGGATGACACCAAAACATACAAACTGGATGTCACCTCACAACCTCCATTAATCAACGGTCTGTACAGAAACAAAACTGTGATGAAAGCCACAGCTGTGAGGCACTCCAAAAAACACCTTAACTGCAGAGCTGAAGGGACACCATCTCCTCAAATCACGTGGATCGTGCCGGACAACATTTTCCTCACAGCTCCCTATTATGGAAGCAGAATCAAAGTCTACAAAAATGGAACCTTGGAAATTAGGAACCTAAGGCTTTCAGATTCGGCTGACTTTGTCTGTGTAGCTCGGAATGAAGGAGGAGAGAGTGTGCTGGTGGTACAGTTAGAAGTACTAGAAATGCTGAGAAGACCAACATTCAGAAATCCATTCAATGAAAAAGTAGTTGTCCAGCTTGGCAAGCTCACAACATTGAACTGCTCTGTTGATGGTAATCCACCACCTGAAATAATCTGGATTCTACCCAATGGCACACAAATCTCTAACAAACAAAAAAATTCTCAGTATCTTATAGCAAGCAATGGTTCTTTAATCATTAATAAAACAACTCGAAATAATGCAGGAAAATACCGGTGTGCAGCTAAAAATAAAGTCGGATATATTGAGAAATTAATTGTACTAGAAATTGGGCAGAAGCCAGTTATTCTTACATATGCATTAGGGATAGTAAAAAGTATCAGTGGTGAGTCCCTATCGCTGCATTGTGTATCAGATGGAATACCTAAGCCAAATGTTAAATGGACCACACCAAGTGGCTATACAATAGACAGGCCTCAAATTAATGGGAAATACCTCCTGCATGAAAATGGTACCTTGGTCATCAAAGAAGCAATGACTTATGACAGAGGAAATTATATCTGCAAGGCTCAAAATAGTGTGGGCCAGGCACTTATCACTATTCCTGTCATGATTGTGGCCTATCCACCCCGGATCACAAACCCCCCCACCAGGAGCATCCTCACAAGGACAGGAGTGGCCTTTCGGCTCCATTGTGTGGCCCTGGGAATCCCCAAGCCAGAAATCACCTGGGAGAGGCCTGGCCATTCCCTGCTCTCCAGCACAAGTAAAAGGAGAAACCCTGAAAGTGACCTTCCTCACCCACGAGGCACCCTGGTCATTCAGAATCCCCAGATCTCAGATTCTGGGACATACAAATGCGTGGCGAGGAATCCAGTTGGCAGTGATTATGCAACAACTTATGTTCAAGTTATATGACGTGAAATATGATTAAAATCAACCAAGTCAATGTCTGGACAGTTTATTTTTTGGAAGAAGTTTAATCAAAGGCAGCCATAGGCATGTAAATGAATTTGAATACATTTACAATATTAAATTTACAGTGGACATGCAAAAAAGACATGTAAATAAATGCATATGAACTGATACTGATTTCTTTAATAAATCCCAACTTAAACTTTTAAGGCACTTTTAGTTTGCCAACAAATAACAAACATTAAGAGAAAATGGTCCACAATAAAATAACAAATGGCGAATGCACCTGAATTTTCCAGTAACAAATGGACATTTTGTTGTCTTTTATGACCAGTTGCCCAGTATCCATCTCCTACCAATGTTACAAGCATGGCACTCAGAACAGTGCAACAGTGGATAAGATTAATTTTGCAGTCTTTATGTAAATTTGTCATCTTGATCTATAAATAGTTTGTCATTGGTTTATAAATATTTTGCTAAAACCTACAGAAAAGAAGCACTGAACTGTTGACTATGATTTGTCATTTGATCACATTAAAATGTTTCAATGATGGGAAATATAAAATGTTTTAACTGCATTTAGAAATAAATGCAGGCCAATTATGTCCCCATGTAAAAAGCAACTTAATACCCACACATCATAAAATGTGAAAAGGGGGCTGATTATGTTTTTGACCAAATATACCCATTAAAAACATTTTAAAAATACAGTGAAACTCCTTCATAACATTAAAATCTAGCTCAGGCACCCCAGTTGGGAGTTGTGTGTGAAGAAAGTTTTCTGAGGAGAAATCTTCGCTCTGTGAGCATTCATTTCATTAAGTAATAATTCTTTTTACAATGAACAAACATTTGGGAGAGTCTAGCTCTATTATATATAATGAAGTTTCACTGTATTTAGATTTTGATTAAACCCTAAAAAATGTTGCTTTTGTAATTGAATATTGCACATAACTAATTCAACCTGAATTAAATTTGGAGACACTATAATTCACCTTTTCTAATTCTAGAGGATGGGACTTTCCAGTGTAATTTGTCAAAAGCATCTGTTTAAATACTCACCTATTACTTTAAAACTGTAGTCTTGTAAATAAAAAACTAAACTAGAGATTTTGTTCAAATAGCACAGTGCACAAAACTGAGAGCTCTATTAGCCCCTGTCAGTCTTTTAAGATACATGGGAGGATTCAATGTGTTTCCATCACTCCAACCTTCAGCGGGCCTCATCTGAGCGGTGACCTAACTGCTACTAATCTTACTACCCTATGGCTGCAAGACATCAAAGAACACTCATTGTAAAGTCATCCCCTTCTATTTCTGGACCACAATGAAGGTATAAAACAACAGATGCAAGTCTGTTAAGAAGTAGCCTGCAGTGTGATCAGGTACTACGTCTAAGGTAGCGATGGCAAACCCTTCAGAGCTTTCAATGATAGCCAGCAGCCTGCTGTGGCACGGGTTCACCACCACTGCTCTAAGGGATTCTTTCTTATATCTGGGAATTACGATAGGTATGACTCCATTAGATTTCAAGGTCTTATCTTAAAGGGGATTTGGAGCCTCCACCGTTTTTTTGCTTTGCTTTGCTTTGTTTTGCTTTCGAGTCAGTGTCTCATTATGTAGTTCAAGTGGTCCTGAACTCACTACGTAGCCCAGGCTGGCCTCAGACTCACAGCAATCCTCCCGCTTCAGTCTCCCGAGTGCTGGGATCACAGGCACGTGCCACAAAGCCTGACGGGGTCCCTGTTTTATTCTAAAAAAATTTCCTCTCTACAATTCACCAAACAAATTAGCAGTTACTGCTACAAAGCTTTCCCTTATGATCACTGTAATGCAAACCAGTACATTTACTAGAAAAGAAAAAAGCTGTTAGCACAGAGAATTAAGTGAGAGGCAATATTATAAATTAAAAACTCCAGTTACTTTTCTTATAATGCACTGGGGGGAAAAAACAGCTCCTGATTTCTTTTTTTTTCTTCTAAGCCTTCCACAGCAACTCAGAATTATAGGCCTTACTATAACTTAGTTTTTTCACTTAAAAAAAAAAAGTACACAGCAACAAAGTATATTTCCATAAGCTTCATGTGCAAAATGATTAATAAATTAATTCCTGCAAAATGTAAAGTGCATACAAATGCTATGCAGTTAGAACACTCATTCTTGAAACAGTGTTACTGCTGTTTTCAATATTGAGCTACAAAAATAGGTGGTTCAAACTGAAAAATGGCATTTTAAACACCAGTAATGCTGGAAGCCAATGAAGTCAGGAAGTGGCTCGCTCACGAGGCATGACATTCACGTCTCAGCTGTTCTGCCAATGAGTCATGTGACTCTATAGCAGATTAACTCCATGAACTACAAGGATGATTCTTGAGAGAAAAAAAGCTGATACACAGATACAGCTGAAACTTAAAAAGATACATTTTTTGAAAGCAGATAGAATATTAATTTAGTGAAAACAATGGTCTTTAATGTTTTGGCAAAGTCTTTTCCAGCCAGAGTAAACATAAAATGGGCAGGCTGGAGGGAAATATCTTCACAGTGTACAAAGCAGTTCACATGGATGGTGCCACAAAGTAAGCAGACATGTATTTGAGGTCATTTGCATGAGTCAAACTTTGCAATGAGTAACTCACCTAGGAATATATAAATTACTTATATAATGATTTGCAAAAGAAATTATCTACTAAAGTAGTATTAGCTACATTTAAAAAAAGTAGTTCTACATGGTTTGCTCATTATAGACAAGTCTATTCACAGTATATGTAACTACATTACATGTAAAATGATATGAAAGGAAAATGAATTAACACAGAACATGGGAAAATATTCCCCACATGTTTTAAAATGCCCTGCAATTTTCACATTCAAAATTTTATGCATCTAAATCTAAAAAAATATTATATGGAATACTCTTAAGTTACACAAACTGATAATTTACTGCATTTTTTACTCTAATAGGAGCAAATTACCACATACTTGAACAAAGTTAAAATAGTTACTATTTCTTTATAATAAATTTGATGTATAATTTACTTTACTTGTGCTTTTTGCACCAATTTATAAATACAGTATATGCAATACACAAACAAGACTGACACCAACGGGAATATTTAAATTCAAAATAGCAAATACTTACCATACAAAATAAACAGCAAATATACCTTTCATGAAAACCAGAGCCTTTTGAACTTTGCTGCCAGAGTCTCTGGAAACCAGGTCAAGTTTCAGCAGTGTGCAATCTGAGCACAGCTGCGAGACTGTTTTATTTCTGAAGTTGGCATAAGGTTTTAGAGAACCTTATGGGCAGTCATTTTTGCCACAATTGGCAGTAAATAAATAGAACAATTCCACTGTTCCGAATGTGGGCCTTTAGGATCACATGTTGTACCTTTACAAAGACTCTGGTCAATCAATGATCTTGTCACTAATAACAAATTCAAGTCAGTCACTTCTAATATGCTTCCATGTATCTTAGCGTGGTTTCCTCAGAAGCCTTGGTTGAAGAACTTTAGGTACTAAGCAACAATCTGTTTCAGCACCTTTTGACCACAACAAAAGGAAAAGTCCTATATAAATAAGAACAAAGTTTATAAAGTGCTCATGAAGTTACAAACTTCTCAAATTAGAGTGATGCAAATAAATGTCCATTTTGCCATCAGAGGTGGATGCAGAATGACGGGTCACTTAGCTGTCAAGACCTGATGCGATGTTCCAATCAGTAGTTTGGTCCACCACAGTGTGTTTAAAAAAACAACCCCCCCCCAAAAAAAAATCAATTTCATCATTAATGAATACATAAATATTTAAGCCCACCATCATTCATTCTTCTGCAAGTACAACAATCAAAGAGAAAGCACCAATTACAAAGGTCTGCTCCCACCTTCTTCCTGCAGTAGGCCTGCATGATCCATCTTTTAAAACCTACTTTCAAGTTAAATGTGACAAAACTAAACCACAATTTCTCTTTACTGTTGTTTAAATATCTTTGTATGAAATTTAGCATAAAGTATGGGAAAATATCAGAGAACTAAAAGACCAAAGGGACATTTTTGGGATGGGTAGTAAATTAGATTTGATTTTCTATTTCTCAGTGCAAACATAAAACTGTGTGTCTTCTCTTCCAGATTCAGAAGTGTGAAGAATGTCCATAAGGAGCCACTCCTTGCTGTGGCTGATTACCTGATGAGAAAAATAAATCAAAATAAAAACTTATGTAAAATTATGCCTTCAATAAATGCTTACCTCCTGTCCCTGTTCAGTAAGATCCTCGGGTTCAAGGGAACAGGCCAACTGGCCGTCGTACGACCCTAGTCCTGAAAGGTCCTAGCAACAATTCGAGCACTGCCACCCAATTATTTCTACAGAGGGGCATTTCCACAAAGAACCCCATACCTGGCAACACAAGGCCTCGGGATTAGGGTAACTGGCCTACTTGAAAGTCTCCCTCTAAACTAAGAATCCACTCCATGTTAATGAATTAACTTAAAGTTTCATGGAACACTAGAAGTCAAAATGTTTACAGAAGCAAAAGCAAGTCAGAAATTATACGTTAATCACTGACATAATTGGTGTCAACTATTTTGCAACTCACCCATTTTCTACAAACGGCTATAAGATATGTAAGGAAATGGTGCAAAGCGCACGCATATACAAGAGTAGATGCTATGAATGTCTGGGCTGCTCAAGTGTGCACCTGCATATATATGCATGTATGCACCTGTGCACAGCACAGAAAAGTGACAGCAGCCACCAAACTTCTTACATAACTCTGGATCATTCCAATTCAGAGGCCCCGATTCCATGGCACCATTACAAATAGAACTTTCTAGAACTGTGGGGTGGCACCAGCTGGCTCTTCAACCAAGAAGGGTGGCATAGCTGTTAATACCAAGCAGCAGAGTATATACGGTGGTTAAGAAGTGGACTCTGGAAGACCATCTGTGTTCAAGTCCCAGCTCTGTCTCTTACCATTAGTTGAATAACTTTGGGGGAATCATTCAGTGTTCCTATTTTTCAGTCGTTTCCTCATCTATAACATGGGAACAGTGAGAATACCTGACCTCACAGGCTGTGAAAGAAATAAGGGCACTGATGCATGTAAAGTCACAGTGTCTAAGAGTGCACTCAATAAATGACAGGCGCTACGTTCCTTGGATTCTGGAGAACAGTAAAGAGTAAGCAAGCTACCCCAAGCAGTACTAATGCAGGAAAATCATAAGTACTTATGTCTAAACACTAGGAAAAAAAAACAAAACTCCACTTTAAGAGTGTATTTTCAGCAAGAATATCATTCTGGAATTAATAAAATGCCATGAAACTTTAGTCACAAATTGGTTTAACCGATCAGACCTATTATCATAGCCAAAAAAGAAATGTCGATTTATTTGGTTTAACTGAAATTAAATGCAGTTACAAGGGAAAAAATATTTTTAAAGATAGAAACAAAGAGCTTAGGTATGTCCAGTGGCAGAGACACCAAGGCGTGTGTGTGTGGGGTGGGTGGATGGGGTCATTTCCTCTGCCGGGAAATCAACACATAGAGCAGCCAGGCAGAAAATTTAGACTCAAATCAAGCTGCCCATTGGTATAAACTGATATATATTCTGATGGTATCAGCAGGCTGCCAAACCCACCTCGCTGTTTGCAGCACAAACGAGTCTTCACTCTGTACTGTAGAGACATACGATCGGAGGCCCAGAGTAAACTGCTAGCCTCTCTCCTAACCACACACATGAAAAAACTACACGATCTCTACAGTACTGACACTTGTGACAGTGCACCACAGCTGCCACCAGAACTGAGGTAGCGAGATTTCCAGCTGATGCTCGGCTTCTCACAGGGCCTACACCACTGCTAAATGGACCACCTGTCCTATGAATGCAGCACACAATGATCTGAATCACAGGAGCAGACCACTGCCACTGAGATAACAAGGTATCAGAAGTGGGGGCCTGGGGTATGTGCTCTAGAAAGGCAGCCAACTTAAGAGAAAATAACCCGTACAACACAACAGGTAAGACGGTGGGAAGAACATACTGCCCTGCCACCTTCCATGCCATCTGCAGTACTGCAGGGCTTGATTTCTCTGACTCATTAGGAAGGACAGCACGGTGCAGTGGGGACAGCAGGCACCACTTAGGACTGACCTCCCAGTACCGAAAGCCTTTAGGAGGCCACCTACAGCTACTCCCTGAACATTTCCAGCTTTATAAAAAGGACATCAAGAGTTGGGGTGGAGCTCTGTGGTGCAGCGCTTGCCAGGCTTGCAGGTGGCCCTGGGTCGGCAACACAAAAACAAAGCAAAACAAAACTAGGCAGGACACTTGCAGTTTTACAGGGATCTCCTGAATGAAAAGAAACATTTCCAGGTTCAGATGGAAGAAACAGGACACCACTGCTGAATTAAAAAGAAGGAGGGAGGGGAGACATTTTACCAAGAAAAGAAGATTAAAGCCTTAATCCAAACAAATGGAGACAAGATGCTAACACTGTAGATGAAAGCAAACATGGACATGGTACCATGGAAACCAGTGCCATTCTTGAGGGGCCACCACTGTCCTTTGCTTCCTTGCTTTTAATTTCCTGGAAGCCCCTGGCTCGGGCTCAGCGACAGACAGTACTTACTAGAAAGCTGCTTCTGGAGCTGCCGCACCAGGGCGGCTGTCTGCTGCTGCTGCTGCGTCTGCTGCAAGCCTTGCCTGGGAAACTGCAATTGCAACAGGAGAAAGGAGGGAAGTCAGCCCATGGCGCCATCACAGGCAAGAACAGGCGGGATCCCAGGGGCAGGCATGCTGTGATGCGCTTCACATACATCAAGATAAAAAGGGCCATCCTGACACGTGCACCCTGCTGTATGTCTGGTAAACCTCTGAAGTGTCCCACTTGTCCAGGAACTAGCTGGCATTTATTTGAAAAGTCCTGACAATGGAGTCCACACTCCAGAGGTGCCTGAAAAGCTCAAAGATCACTGTCATCTTACCCTTCACCAATTTGCTAAATAAAAACCAAGGCATTGGGAATAGATTTGTTAGCAAAACAAAAGCTCTCTGATGAGAATATTTGTTCAATTCCTACAGACCTTGCCTACATGAATGGGGAAAACAAGCTGGAGAGGCAGAGCACTGCTCGGGCCAGGCTCGTGTGAGATTCCCCACGCAACGCAAGATGAAGGCTGGCAATACTCCTCCTTAGTACACTGTAGCCACTGCTAGGCCAGGATGAGGCTGCGTGAGGACCGAGTCTGCCAGCTTTAGGAGAATGAGCACTCCAGGGCCCTGCAGGTGAGTGCCAAGGCCGCGGGAAGCATCTTCCCGCAGGTACAATACGAGTGGTCGGTCCCGATTCTATCTGTTCAGTTGAAACAAGAATGTGTGGCAGTTATCCAAATAAAAGAGGGAGGGGGAGCATCTAGTGGAAACAAAATTACTTTTTATTAGAATGAATGTCCATACCAATGTATTTTTCTTAACCTGCAAATACCAGGGTGCCACTTTCTTGGGCTTCTTTGATCTCTCTTTCTCTCTCTCTCTCTCTCTTTTTTTTTTTTTTTCAGAACTGGGATTGAACTCAGGCCCTTGTGCTTGCCAGGGAAGCGCTTATTCTACTGAGCTATCTCCCCGGCCCTCTTTGATCTTTTCTCCCCTTCTCCTCCTGGCTTATTGCTGCTGTACCTAGGAGGCCTTTGCTTAGTCGCAGGCACGTCCGCACTGTGCTGTCCTCACCAGCCCGTGGTGTGGGCGGCATCTACTGGATGGCGCCCTTTGCCCTCTCACTTGGAGGGAAGCAGGGACGCTTCCAGGCAGCCGGGAGAGAGCACAGTAAGCTTTGTTTTGGCCTTGCCAATGTCCTCCACGTCGGGCATCTGCTGGCACAGCGCATCCCTGACTCTCTGGGGCAGGAAGGCTGCCACTCTCTTGGCTTTCTCCCTCTTCTGCTTCAGTGGCCTTAGAAGCCACCATGCCTGGCTGTACCCCAGTTAGTTCCCTTAGTCCTGTTCATGTTTGGAAGAGTTTTGTTCCAATACAATATTTTCAAGCACCTTACACAAAAGTAACATCTATTTGTTTTCAGCTTGCCAATGACAGAAAATAGCATAGGATTATAAGTAGGGTTGCCAGAAAATACACAAAATGCACACTTAATGAGAATTATAGATAAACAATGAGTATTTTTCTAGTTCTAAGTATACTTCATATGATACTTCATATGACAAATACTGGATTTAGTTTAAGAATGTCCAATACAGTGTTTGGGACACTTACACTATTACTATTTACCTACAACTCAAACTCAACTGGAAGTTGTATGTTTTATCTGACAATTCTAATGAGTGAGCATCACCAGGTGTCTGGAACAGCACGAGGCTCAGGTCATTTCTCTTCAGCCAGACAGTGAGCACCGTGGGACTTAGACCCATGTAGCCCCATGCATCCCATAGTGCCAGGCACCCAACAGGCGTGCAGTACAAATCAACAGAATCTTTAAGTCTAAAGTGCCATCAACTCCCACAGCCTCCCTCATTACTAAAAGCAGACACAAAGCTGATGAAGTCTTCCCTAAACCACTGTCACTACTTTTCCCAATGCAAAGGCAGGAAAATCACAGCTTGTCTTTCCTTCTTTCTGTTGCCCAAATACAGAGGGTAAAAAACAATAAAAATGAATCAGTTATTTATGTGGAAAAATGAAAGTGTTTCTTTCCTATTCAACTGTTACCATGCTTATGCAGAAAAGTGATTGCATTATTTAACAAAACCTTATGTAATACTTACTATATGTCAGCATGTATCCTGATACTGTCTGTATGTATTAGCAATTTAATCTCGATGTAGCAGAACTCCTCCACATCTTACTGAAAGTCCTTGGGACAGATAGGTTTTGATATCTGATATATAGATGGTTTACTATGCGACATTCATAATACATAGACAAAGCCTAAATGTACGACAGCACGCCACAGCAAACAGTAATTTCTGCAGCAAAACAAACAGCATTCACATCAAGTAGGGTAAATTCAAAGAGCCTTATGCCCATTCAGGCCAGCTTCTATGAGTACTTCTGCCCTTGCAGTGGCATCTGAATTTGGGGAACACGTATAAGGGAGTGTGAACTCTTCCTGCTATTATTCTCATTTTACAGATGAGGAAACTGAAGCTCAGAGGAGTTCAGTGATTTGCTCATAATCATTCTAGGTATTGCGGCTGGGTTTCAGACTAAACTTTCCGGATCCAGAGTCCAAGATCTTAACCACGATTACCTTGCTTCACTGCCCAAATCTACTTATATTTAAGGGGTAAAATGCAATGTTATACATATATATCATGGGATGATTAAATCAAGCTAGTTAGCATATTCATCGCCTTCCATAGTTTTCATTTTTCATAATGAGAACTTTTAAAATATACTCTTAGCAAGTTTGCAGTATACAGTACATTATTATTAATTATAGTCAGCATGCTGCGCAATACATCGCCAGCAGTCCTTCCTTATACTTGGTAGCCTTCGGGCAACACTTCCCCACCTACCCACCACCCCCTCAGGGTACGCCAAGTGTGAAACTATCTTCCAAATATTAACTTATTTGGAAATAATTCTAAATTCTAAGTATTTGGCTACACAGATGTCTACACTGATTCACTGGCATACAGTGGATAAATATGGAACATTTGTTCATGTGACAAATGCTTAACTGCCTTCCTTCTGTTCATTTAAAACTTGCTCCACAGAATGAAATAGAGCAGATTCCCTATCTTGAGAACCCTGGTGGGAATGAGGAACCGAGAGAGCTCCCGCCCTTGTGTGTGTGCACGGGCTGGGGAGGGGCAAGTGGGCTGCTGAGTGACTCCGGGGGCTGGCACAGGGCTGCAGGGACTACTCAGTGGCACAGAATTCACCTAGCACATGCAAGGCTCTGGGTTCGATCACCTTAGTCACACAAAGAAAACAAGCAAATAAAAAAAGAGGTAGAACATATTCAGAGTGTTTCAAAGAAAGATGCAGGGGAAATCCTCAAGACTGTCATGTTATTTGCAAAGTCAAACATTTCTGTCACTATAGGAAGACAGGAATTTGCTTTGTTCGTGTCCATTGTCTTCTGAGTGTATAGTACAGTTTTCCAGGAGCGATGTAAGGCACGCTAGTGTGACAAAGCCTATGTATTCTACTCAGCCAGGCATTAAAAGATTTTTTTTTAAATGTTAATGCCATTTCTCTAATTTTTTTTTACTTTGAAAAATATATCTTTTTTTATAAAAAATGTTATTTCTGTTACTGAAAAATGGGTATCTTAAAGTAATTCACTAAATGCTTCTAATATTTCTGCTTTAATTTCTAAAATAGTAAATAGACATAGAAAAGTTTCTTGGTCCATAATAACTATGTGAGAAGGCTCAAGGCCACTTCATTAATGCTGACCAGAAATATGTAATGAGACAGATAGATCTCTGTTTCAATCTTCTTAGTTGCAGTTTTTAGCACAGGATGTAAAAAACACAGGCTTCCTCTCGAAGCCACCCTGATAATGTGTCCTCCGCTGTACACAACACAAGCAGGGAAGAGACCTCACATTTTGATTCTGGAGCCCCGAGCCACCAGGGAAGACAGCAGTGACCAGTTCCCCTCCCCAAAATAAACACTGCTGAGCATTTCAAATCACGTCCCTATACTGCAGGACTGGACCTGTACGATGCCAAGGAAGCAAGAAACTATCAGGAGAAATTTTCTGAGTGACCCTCCTGGGGCTCCTCCTTAGACTTTCTGAATTAGGAATGCATGTACCCTAGAAATCTGAATTCTCAGTGGTTCTCTGAGACTGATGCTTGGCTAGATTTGGAAATCACCATGTGGTAGAAGATAGAACTTTGCCGATACTAAAACAAGTCAATAAATAGGTTCATTAGGGTTTACCAGAGGTCATAAAATTGATAATTTATATGTATTTAGTACTTTCTTTTTTGTGGGGGTGGTGGTACCAGGGATCGAACTCAGGACCTTGCCAAGCAAGCACTTATTCCACTGAGCTATCTCCCCAGTCCCTGTATTTCCTATTTGAAGGTCATAAACAGAATGGGAAGTGCTTCTCTGGGCTGCATCTTATCCATTCAGATGATGAGCCTGGCCTCTCTCACGCCTGTGCCTTTGCAGGTGGTAATGCCTTCTCCTCAAGCACCCTGCACCCCACTTTACACCTTCCTCAAGATTCCCTCACCCTTCAAAGAGCAGCTAGTTTTACCCCCTAACTCTTCAGGCACACAGAACAGGGACTGCTCCTGGGCCCTCAGTGCTGCGTGGGCACCTGCATTATGTGTGCTGGGGACAAGCTAGCCACCACCTTTCTCCAGCACTCTGGCTTCCGAGCTTCCTAGGGGCGGAAGCTATATCCTGCTGAGGCCAAGACACAACACAGCGCAACACCTGAGGTAGCACAACCGCTTTCCTGGGCATATCAGGTCCTGTTCAACTTAGAGAAAAACAAAACAAAACAAAACTTGGATCCTTCAAGTTCTGTTTTGGTAAAATTCATTTACTTTTTAATGCTTAATCATTACCAAGGCAAAAATATGTGACTTACTAGTAATTTCTGCATGACTAAGTGCCATCATGTCTTTTTTTAAATCTCAGAACTTGAACTTACCCTTTTAGCAGCACATTCGATGACGGGCCTACATACTAACTCTCAGATGATTCAGATATGTTTATACTTACAAAAGGGATTTTTAAAAATTATTGCTAGCATAGTCAACAAATGAGTCGGCTAACATTTAAAGAATCCAGGTATTTTTTTGGGTTCCAGGGCCACCAGGGTAAGATCTTCACTGCTCTTACAGCAGTGTCATGGTTCCTGCTGGCTCTTCCTGTTCACACTACTCGTGTGCAAAACAGGGTGGCAAGGCGGCATTTCTATTAATACCAGCAGTGTCTTCCTAACACGGGAGAATTTAGAGACACAGGCACACTGTGAGAAGCCTCCCAGATGGGAAAGGCAGAGTTCATGGTCCAACAGGCCAAGGAAGGCCAAAGATGGCCAATGAGCTCCCAGGCGCTGGGCGGAGGAAGCCCGAGAGAGACTCCCTTGGTGCCTGCGGAAGGACCTCACCCTGTGGACATCTTGATCTTGGACTTACTTGTCCTGTCTCAAATTGACAGGCAATAAACTTGCACGAAGTCCCTCCATTTTTGCACTTTGCAGGGCAGTTCTAGGAAGTTAATACAATCTCTGGAGCCCCCTCTACGCACAGCTCAGTACCTATACAAGCTTCCACATGCAGTGCTGCTATTTAACCATCTCCTACAAGTCTAGGTCTTCTGAAGGGAGCACACTTGGTTCTTCTTTGGCCTGCTGCTAACATCTGGTAGGGTGGCAGTCTCTATTGCATATGAGAAAATATGCAAACAGTGGCAGGGACTATCACATGGAGGGTGGTGCCTATTACTTCTCCCTTGGTACCAGCACCAGTCAGAACCCCAGATGAGTCAGGGCTTCGCTGGCCTCAGCAGCCAGTGGACTGCCCTCTTCTCTGCAGAGGGAGGAACTGAGTACAGAATACTGGCCACTTAGAGGAACTGGATCTGCTAGAGATATTTATGATAAGTGAAAGGAAATGTATTTAGATACATAAATTTTAATGGAAACAATAGGAAAAGGAACAATACCTAGAGATATAAGGAAATATAGGACAGGCAAAATAGCTCAGTGGCTTAAAGTGCCTGCAAGCAGGTGAAGGGGCCAGGGTCTCAATTCCTGGGCTGCTTTGCCAGCCCTGCCCCGGTGGCATGCTGAGCCAGAGACTGAGACTGGGTGTAGTGGCAAGAGCCTGCAATCCCAGCTCTTGGGAGGCTGTGAACAGGTGGATCACTATGAGTCCGATTTAGTAGTGAGACCCTAAACACCCAGTAGATCCTTCCCTAAAATACAAAAAAATAAATAAATAAATAAACATAGTATTTTTCTTATTATCGAGGTTTTGTGCTTTCACTATTGTAAAGATACATATATGATAATTTCTTCTTATTTTTCAAGACTAAAAAATAAAATATATCAAAATATCCTTAGCAGCACTATTATTTGTGTTTACTTATGATTTTAAACTGGGAGGTGAACTAAGGACCTTGCACTTGCCAGGCAGGTGCTGTGCCGCTGAGCTACACCCCTACCCCATGAGCACGACTCTTGGAGCTGGAAACAGTAAATGCTTAACAGCAGATGAAGTTGCTGAGCTAACAGCAGCAGAGCACTAGAGGGACCAAGGACTCACTAGCGGCTTGACACCACAAATGTCCCCCCACTTCTTTTCTCCTTTCCCTCACCTCAGTTGTTCTTTCCTTTGGAGCAGTTTCTTTCCTGTTCATAATATCTATTATACCTTTTGGATTTTATTTACTCTTTCAGTTTCTTATCAAAAGAGTAGGAGAAAATATGATGTTTACACACGTGAGTCTGATTCATTTCACTTATGAGTATGGTCTTTGTGTTCATTCAACTACAAAAGCCTCTTTCTTTATAGCTTAGCACTCTACTATATAAAAACATCACTTTTTTTTTTAAAATCCATTCCTCGGTTGATGGGCATCTGGGCTGTATATGAGATTTGGCTATATTTCAAAGTATAATTAAAAAAAAAGGGGAGGGTATTTGCTGAGTCAGCACTATAAATATTCCAAGCAATGGATATGATGTAATTTGCATATGCATTATTAAGTTTTTTGATTTCTATCAAATACCACCACAATTTGTTGTAAAAGAGACTGCAATAATTTTTGTACTGCCTAATATATGTTTAATATATGCTTTTAGAGCACTGAATTTAACTGATGCTATATATGATAGAATACTGAGTATAGCTGGAGAAAGAATTTAAACTCTAATAGTTGTACATTTTTAAAAATTAAAAACTTGTACACTAGAACTTACATTGAAAACATAACAATCATAGGCATCTCTCCTAAACAACCAGTTCCTGCCAAGGAACTTCTTTTTAAAAATTTTTTATGTATTTTATTTAGTACAGGGTCTACAGGGTCTCACTACATGGATCAGACTCCTAGTGATCCTCCTATTTTCAGCCTCCCAAGTGCTGGGATTATAGGCATGCTCCACCATGCCCAGTCTCAACTGCCATCTCAGCGCACCCTGAGGGCAGGGCCAGCACGGCACATTGGGGATCAAACCCCAGTCCCTGCATCTGCCTAAGCAGGCATTTTAGTCTGCTGAGCTACCTGGCCAGCCCTAGAACTTCTAATGATAAAGAAGCAGTTAGTGAATGTGTAGATACTGCATCTACTTTAAAAAAATTTTAAAAGTGGATTGCAAACACTGCTATAGCCATCATAAAGGATCAGGGATAAAATGAAAGTTAAGATTCATGATAATTGGGGCCAAGGAGATGGCTCGGTGGAATAAGCGCTTCCCTCACAAGCGCAAGAGCCTGAGTTCAATCCCCGGTTCCACAAAAAAAAAAAAAGATTCATGATAATTAAATTAAAATTAAAAATGGAGTTCCAGTTGGACAAGGTAGAGAGGCTTGGTCAGTGCACGATGAATGGTGCTATTGCAGCGGATCACACTACGTTGTCAGTCTCATTTGGACATAGTCCTCTGAACACTGAATTTTAATCTAATTCTTCCTAATGTACTACCGATGACCACATTGCTTCTGCTCTTCTGCAAAGCTGTGACACCATCTGTCCCCAGATACAGGGCTAAAGGTCGGCCACACCAGTGTTTTCCAGTATGAGACATGTGCAGGCACCTCTTATCCTACATGGTACTCGCAAAGTTTGCACTGCTGAGTCACATGGAAAGTCTTCTCAATATTTTTTCCTTCTGAGTACAGTGGTACCTTGGGTTATGGACGCTTGTGTTTGTAAACAAGTTGGCTTATAAACAGAAGCATTGGGCAAAATTTGGTTTTGGTTTGCAAACTGCATTGAGTGACAAACATGACCACAACCATTTTTCCCAAATAAACAAGGCCATCTTTTCCAAACTCATAGAACAAATTAAGATTGTGAACTGAGGTACCACTGCATTTATTTTCACATGTATTCCCAATACTATGTGGTGAGTGACACAATCGCTCTTGGCAGTGGTAGATGCTATCTTTTAAAAGATATTTACCTAAGTAATTAGGAGGACAACTTAAGTGAAAGTAGAAAGCAAATAGTGAAACAGGGATATAATACTCCCAAAAGTAATGGATATTGTGAATTGCTAAGGTTTATAAAATTTTGATGCCATATACATTTTCAAATTTGATTGATATAGCTAATGAATTATAATAAACACTGTATGGTTTTTTTTTTTTTATATGAGGAAACCTGAAATATAAAGAGAGCAAAATAAAGACAAAAAGAAGTGGAGAGATCTTTTTCAAGTGGGAAGCAGAACAAGAGAAGGAGGAATGGAAAAACAAAATGGGATAAATAAGAATTAGAGAGAAAAGCTGGAAATAGAGCTTTTGTGAATGAGATGGGGACAGAGAGGCAGAAGGCAGGGTTGATGAGAAAGACGGGGAAGGAAAAAAGAACTACAATGCGTCCAAGTACGACCTCCCCACAGTAAATGCAATCGCTACGTATTGTAGCCACAGACTAAGAAGACAATTACAAACTAGATAAAAATTCTCAAAGTAAATTCTAATTGGCTAAAAAAAATTCCTTTACATCATTAAAGACCACATTTCTAAAAAAACCTCTATCCTTTCTGTAAATAGCAATGTAAGATAATCTTCTAAACATACACGCTCAAGCATAAATCTAGCACTACTTATAGAGACCTTGCTACTTCATCCTAAAAGGTTAAGTCCATATAACAGTCTTAAAATTTTTCAAAAGGAAAACAGTACAACCCACGGAACCACAAAATCTGTATTTTTTCTATAAAAACAAATACATCAAATACAACAAAACTGTGATTCTAGGGAAAAACTAGTAGGCTATACTTTAGCTATTTCAATTCTTTATGAGCAAATGGCCATAGAGAGCGCACCTGCCTTCAAGGAAGAAACCCAAATGCCCGAGTCCAAAACAGCAGGTCTTACCAGGGGCTGCTGGGGCTGCACTGCTTGGAGACCGAGGGTCTGGTTCTGGGACTGCGAGGACTGCTGGGGCTGCGGGGGCTGCTGAGGCTGCAAGAAGAAAAAAGATCATACCTGAAAGGGAAGCTGCTAATGTCACCTTGGAGTTTCCTTCTCCCATATTTTCACCTAGTTCTATGGTTGCAAAAACATGTCATTTTAGCCAAGGGGCTATTTTCTGAGAACTGTCTCTCATTAGGTGATTTTGTCAGTGTCTGATCACTGTACTGGGTACTTACAAAAACCCAGTGACGCAGCCACTATATGCCCAGGATACGTGGTTTCTGGGTCTTTGTAAGTGCATGTGCCTGTGTGTGCACACACATAGTCCAAAATAACATGAGATTAAATTAAGCACAAGAGAAATACAAAATGTACGCATCTGCTCTGCTGCTCGTGAAATACAGCAAACTTTTAAGTAACCTTTTTTTTTTTTTTAATGCAAAAGGAGTGCACTCTAATATAACTGTAGAAAGTATAGTAAGGACGGACGTCAGCTAGAAACACATATGGTCATCTCAGCCGCTCTGGGTATGGAACAAGCTGTAACCTCATGCATCTGCGTAACAAGCAGGGCAGTAGGCTGGTCTGCAGCAGTGTCACCACAAGCACATCAGTGTTATGCTGATGGTAATGGAGGTGATGATCTCACTGGGGCAGAGATAATTTTGAGCTCTGTTACAATCTTACGAGACCACAGAGCTGTATGAAAGCCATCACTAAGCTAAACATTGTTCTGTGGACCCTGCCTGCGCACCTGCCAGACTGCCTTTGTCCCTTACATGTGAGGCCTAGGCCTGTTTTTCCTGCTCAGGCTACTCCAGGACCAAGACCTTTTCCTCTGGTATCAGTATTCATAGCCTGCATCATCTGACACATCTGGAGACATTCTTCCTACGTACTGTTTGAATGCCCTTCATAGTGTTTGCCTTTCCACTGTATACTGCCTGTCTTAGCTGGTTTAATGAGCGCTGCTCAGTAGGAATCTTACTCTCTGTGACACTTGGAGGTAATTCTCAGGAACTTTTATTCTCTGAAGGATGATGTAGATTAGCTTCTGTGAGAAGTTCTGGCATAAACTACCAGAATAGAACTAGAAATAATGTCAAAGACAGAGTTGAATAAAATATATAGTTTTTAAAAAATGCTCCCAAGTCACAGAGAAAACAGACTAGATATTCATCAGGTGGGACACAGACAAGAGAAAAATACAAATCAACTTTAAAGAAGATTAGGTTAGGTGTAGTGGCATATGCCTGTAATTCCACCATTCCAAAAGCTGAGGCACAACGATCACCATGAATTCAAGGCCAGCCTGGGCTACACAGTGAGTCTAGTCCAGCCTGAACAACATAATGAGACCCTGTCTCAAAAAAAGAAATAAAGATGATGATCACCTTTAGAGTTTCATCCTTGAGATATCAACCCAAGATTTTTTTCATCCTTTGTATTTTTCCAACTTTGTTTGCATAATATCCCCTAAATTATGTTTTCTTTAGAACAAGCTCTAAATAGCTACTACTAAAAAGCATTTCTAACAGCTCATGCATATGGGTTCCAGTCAGAGATCTGGGTAGGGTCATTCCCAACATGAATGACAAACGTTGAACCAGAAACACATTATTACAACTTGACATCAACTCTCCATTGAGTTTTTGAGAATCCATCCAAGAAAGATGAATTCAATTTGAGAATCACACATTTTTCTTTATGGAGGCAGCCAAACGTCAACAGGGACCAAGTCCAACCCAAACACAGGGACTCATTGCCTTTTTACATCTCCAAGGAATCTACTATTGATAAGCAATTACCAAAGGGACACACTATGCTACTAGGAATAAAAATTACTCAATGAGGAAAGACTTTCCTTATTTATGTCTTTGAAAAAAAACACTGTAAGTAAGCAATGTAGTAACCTCCTTTAGTGACTTCAAAATGAGCGATTTTGAAATTAAGGGAAATACAAACAGCAATTGTAAAAACAATTCAGACACATATCCTCAGAAGTTGGGAAAAATGATTTAAGAAAATACTACTATTAATGGTTGTACTAATGAAAATATTAACAGCAACATTACCAAACTAGAACTGCACTTGGATTTTCATATTTAGCACTGCTACACATTTAAGAGGTAGGCATTCAATTATTTCCATTTTATTGGTTACACAAGTGAAGAATAGTTTTTATCATCTTGGAAATGATTTCTGTACAATGAATGAGATTGGCCATACTTCCAGAGACCAATTACCATCCATTATCAATGTTGTGAAACAAATTTTAAACTATTTAATCAGGTAAAAAATTAGAATGAAACTAATGACATCTTATAACTAATGGCATTATGGGAAGCTCAGCTCTATACAGGATTTGTGTTGGCTTCTGCTTACCACATAGTGACACCATCAAGCAGAATTCTGGAGATCACGCTAGATTCATAACTCAGAATCACTTGCATTTATGGTCCCCACTTTTTCTCCTCGAGGCTGAGATGCTCACATCACTCGGCTCTTTCTTCCTGCAGGACAGGTTTCTTTCCCACTAGTCTCATACTCAAGAGCACAGACCGTGGGTACTTTAGCTCCATTAGAGCCCCACCCGTTTTATTTGCAATTTTGGTGACTGACACCAGGGCCTTCTTACTGGGCTACAACCCTAGCATTTTTTATTATATTTTATTGAGACAAGGTCATGCTAAGTTAAGTTGCCATTAGTGGGCTCAAGGTTAGTTGTCTTTCTTTGTAAGTCCTACATAAAGTAGGACCTTATTTCAAGTTGGGATGATGGTAAGATTATAGGCGAGTTTATAGTCTCACCAGAAAAATCTCTGCCTGATAACACAGGGTGTTCCAGATGATGAATAAGAAGCTAATAAAAAAATGGTGCCAGGTACCACAACAGTAACAGAACTTCGCTGTTTTCTGGGTATTTCTCTTTCTTCTTTTATTCAGTGGAGTTTGCTGGATGTCTATAATTTCGTTCAGATTACTGCAGAACCTGTACATGCTATTGATGCGTAACATACTACTATTATTGATATATATATATATATATGTATATATATTCAAATTTTTGGCATTGTACAGAAATTAACCTCCATATTGGTCTAGAAACATTAAACTTAATTTTTTTTCTCCATTTGCACAGGGGTATCACACTGTATAAAATATGTAAGATCCTATCTATGTGGATTTGATTACAGAAACTAATAAAGTATTCACTAAATAATAAAAAATAACAGGGCAAGTTTATGAATTATAATATGAAGCTGAACTGTTAATGAAGACAAAAGGCATAAACATAACTGCATATATTTCTTAAACAAGAAAATTAGAAGTAAAGCTATGTTAATAGGAGGAAGTTGTTAGGACTTCAGTATTCCCATCAAATAAGCAAATGAAAGGTCTCTGGATTCTAAGAGAGATAAACATAAATGTACCTTTGATTTATCCTTTCTATGTTCCTCCAATTTCACAGTCAACTCAGATCAGCACTAAAGAACTTTTTTTTTTTTTTTTTTAAATTATGGACTTCTAGGAAACTGGTAAAGGCCCTGAAAGTTCAGGAGTTTTTTGGACTGCGTGTATGTTTCATGAATACGAAATGCTTCGTCCAAACTGAGGCACTGGGCCAGGGAGATAGAGTAGTGACATAAGCGCCTGCCTGGCAAGTGCTAGGTCCTAAATTCAATCCCCTGTACTGGGAAAAAAAAAAAAAAAAAGACTGGGCGTGGTGGTGTATGCCTGTAATCCCAGCTCTTGGGCAGCTGTAAACAGGTGGATCACTATGAGTCTGATCTAGTAGTGAGACCCTGCACACCCTGTACACCCTTCCCTAAAAATAAATAAAATTAAAAAAAAAAAAAAAGAAAGAAAAAAGAAAAAATGCAGGCACCTGTTTAAATAGTGCCTCAAGGGGCCAGGGGGATGGCTCAGTGGCATAAGCACTGGCCTGGCAAGCGCAAGGGTCTGAGTTCAATCCCTGGTGCTGCAAAACAAACAAACAAACAAACAAACAAACAAATAAATGCCGCCTCAGTAAGCTGAGACCTACTATTAAAATAAGGCATCCATATGTCTCCTTGAATTTGTGAAAGAGGAAGAAGGCTCTGAAAAATATTCTCTTCTGTCCATGACCTGGCAGATGCACAGATAAAAGAGAACTTTTGCTAGGTTTGAACTAAAGCTGTACCAGTTCGGCTACTCATGTCAAGGGAGACACAGGGCTCCTTGGAAGCACACAATCACCATCTATGTGCTCTTTTATGTTGTAAGACTGCAGCACCTCTGCAGTGATTGAAGGGCGCCCCGCTCCCCGCGTATCCTGCCCCTCACCTGGAGGAGTCTCTGCTGCTGTCGAGCTGGTGGCTGTCTGGGCCTCATGGGGTCCTGAGGCAGGGACACCGAGGGGAGGCTTGGATGTGCAGCGGTCAGAACAGCATCAATCCCCCCGGCCACCAGAGGGCTCTGCTGCAGAGCCTGATGGTTCAGTCTGGCAAAGAATAATGCAGGCTGATTTTAGGCACACACATGCATATATCAGTGCCACCAGCACAGTCCACACATCCACACAAAAAAATCAGCAATTACTTGTACAGTTCAAACAGGGAAAACACTAGGAGTAAAATAAGAGATGTGACAACATTATTAAAAGAACAGCAAGCACACTATTTAAGGCAGAATAGTAATCATGCATAATACTTATTAAAGTAGCTTTTAATAATGACATTAACGAGACATTTTCTTTGGAACAAGGACTGTATGTACTAAGGTCTGTATTATTCATTTCATTTATAACTCTCTGAGGTCAAGAGTTCATTATCCTCACTCTAAAAATGAGAGCACAGAGCCAAAGAAGTAATTCAGGATTACTCAAAAAGCAAAGGACACAGGTGGGACTTGGTCCCAAAGTTCTTGGGCTATGAAGTTTAAGCTCTTGGGTTATGTTTTGGAGCAACATATTGTAAAAGTAATAAAGACAATGTGTGCTTTCTAGAATAATTTGTTTTCCCTAACTCTCCGTGGTCACCTGGAGCCAACAGTCAGCCACCGATCGCACACACGGGAGTGTGCGGCTGCCCCCTGTGCTGCAGAGGCCCACGCGAGCTCCATCCTTCAGGACAGCACTATCCAGCGGCCCTTCCTGCAGTGACTCAGCCGATGTCTGCCTCTGCTCTCCAGGAGCACAGCCACCAGTCATCACGACTAATAACATAATTTAGGTATAGGTGCAAAACACAAATGCAGGGCTCTCATTTAGAATCAGTAAGAATAACAAGAAATAGTAGACCGTCAAGCCAAGAACGGGCCCTTATACATTCAGAGCCACATACGACTGCACGGCCACAGGTTAGACTCTTGTCCTGCTGGCCACATTTGGCTACTAGATACCTGAAATGAGAACAGGATAATGGAAAAACTAAAGGTCTAATACAATGTCTAAATTCAGACAGTCACCTATGGGTTGTAGCTACAATAATGGGCAGCACAGTTATACCCTCTATGTAAGGAATAAGATTAAAACAGGAGCCAAAAAAGAGTTAATTATAATCTGTTTCACCAATCATCCCTGAGGAAAAAAGAGGCAGAAACTAAGTTTTAACAATTCTTATGAGTATCATGCACACTCAGTATCGAAACTATAAATATCATGGCCCTTGTTAATTCTAAGAAGGCTCTGATAAGAAGTCAATGTTGCTTTAGTAAAAAAAACGCAAAGCAGAGGAGAAAAGACAGACTATTAGAGTTCACAGACTAATGTCACCTAAAAATGTTATGCCCATATAATGAAAGCAGTGGGTCAGAACTATAGGAGCCTTGTATAAAATAAATAAGGTGAGGTATTCCTTATTCTGAACCTTTTCCTGCATCCTACTGAAAATGAGACACTAGACTATAAAGTAGATGCAAAACAAGATCATAGAAATCACTATAGTACACCATGCCTAGAGGAACCATAACAATATATTGGAGTGTGCGCGTCTGCTATTGCAGTAATCATTTCTACTGCTATCACCTCTGAGAACTAGGCAAGGGCTGCAGGTATGGCGAGGCCTGCTGCTGCACATAGCCACTCGGCTGCTGCTGAAGCTGTCTGATTCTTTCCATCAGCGCAGGGTTGGAATGCGCAGTTGGGTAGACCCTGGAGCTGTAGCCGGGAGACAGGACCACACCACCAGCCTGCTGCTGTGCTGCTTGCTGCAAAGGCATCTGCGTTCCATACATGGTGTAGCCCTGGGGCATGGTCTGCAGAGAGGCACAGGGCAAGAGTCAGGGATCCATTCCCCCACCAGGACTTTTCAAAACTAATATACATGGGCAGACACAAAGAAAACCTCCTTGAAATTTTCAAAGACCCTTATGACTTAAAATATGAAAAAGACTTCTGTACTAGAGGCAGGCAGTCTAGCAAGGAGGCTATAGAATGAATTGGTTGTACAGTGAGTCACCAGAAATCTCAATTTAAAAATAAATGGATTTTCATTTAGTTAAACTGACTTTTGAGATCAGCTGTTTACATTGAGGGAAGGAAAGGTTATATTTCTATATATAATCAGTATATAGATGACATCAATGTTCCACACATGCCAACATCATTAATATTATTTTCAAAATTACCCAAGAAGGTACCTATGCCCAATATAAATGAAAAAGAAGTAGACTTTCCCAACACATCTTTGGGTCTGATGGATGTATCAGTAGTTATTAATTGGTTACCAACACAACTATTAATGGCATAAGGATGTTTGTTTATTAATATGAGGAACTATTAATAAAGTGATACCCCTTTGACTTGCATGGACCGCTCTCCTTTCAGTAACTGGAATACTTGGTTTTTCTGATCATTATTAATATGAAATTATAATACCTATTTCTCTAAAGCTTGACACCTTATGTAAAAGAAAAATGTGAGGTTCTATTGGATCACAAGACACAATTTATGGACTGGAACGCTGGTCAAAGTAGAGCACTATTGAAATCTCAAGGTACTGTATCTTCAAGTCATGCTGTGACTTGAAAGACAGAGCAAATACAAAAATTTCCTGCACACAGCACAAATGGACCAGGATTGAAGGGCTCCATGCCTGGGAAGCCAAACATGATTTAATTTTAGCATGGATCCAAAATAACTGCCTGCCCCACGGGTGTCTTGCCAACACCACAGGGCTCCTGATTCTGAAAGGAAAATGTTAAGAGTATGCTGGATACAGAATAACAAAATTCTAAGTAGCTGAAGATTATATGTTAAAGCAAGTATGATATTAAGGCAAGCACATCACTTGTTGAGAATCTACTGTGTATATCAGGCTATGCTAACTCCACGGGCTGTCTTAAATCTCCACAGCTTTACCTTATTTTACAGATAAGAAAACCAAACCCCAGAGTAACATGCAAAATGTCACATGACGAATGAGTTACCAAAAGCTCTGTTGAGGTCTTATTCCAAGGCCTTGCTGATCTACCATAATTGCTCATCAAACTTATTTTTGAATATGATAGGTGCAGTCATGAATAACATCATTATGCATTATAACATAAGGATTGCTGAGACTGCTAAACATTCCAATATCTCCCATCATTAATATAGATTAAAATTATTTATATCTTTAATTCAAGGATTTTTTAAAACACTGTATGCTTTTTTTTTTTTTTTTATCAATCCTGAGATTTGTTCAACAATTACTGTTAGTGGTTCTTTGAAATCATAATTATGATCTATAAGGAAAAGTAACTAAGTTCGAGGTCTGACAGGGAGTTGACACCCGGCTTCCTAGTTTTCCTGCTTCAAACAAAAAGCATTTACACTTCTAGCATCCCTTAGACCAGACTCATAAGTGAAATAAATCAGACCCACCATGTGTGTAAACATTGTCTTGACTCTGCAGTATATGAAAATGAAGAGTACATAAAATCTGATCAGGTACAATAGATATTATGAAAGAGAAAGGAACTGCTAGGGAAAAGAGAAAAGAAGGGAAAACACACATACAAACTCACACACACAATAGGTATGATAACTATATTACTAATTTATATTGGTTTGTTGAAAGGAATAGTTAATGATTAATTTCATTTTTTCTGATCAACTTTACATGCTTCTATCTGGTAACCTAAACAGCTAACTCTGAAGATAACAATACGCGATATAACAACCATTATTGATTTCCTATCATCTTGTTTTGAAACTCTGGATCAGTTTTAATGTTTCCTATTTTTATTCTTTTAAAACAAATTTCAGCAGCAGCTTGGAAGAAATGTGGTACCTGTGCTTGTTGCAGCCCTGGATACTGGGGGAGCTGAGGGGAGGGTCGTGCCTGTGCAGCGAAGAGCGTGGCCTGGTCTCCCGGCTGGCCCTGCAAAACAAAGCCAAGGCATGATAGTAAGGTCATGATAGGATCTGAGCTGAGCTTCTGGTAAATAATCCAAATAATGGAAGACATCAAGTCTCAATATGTGAATACAGAACTCACGGCCTTTCAAACTGCACTAAATCCTAGCTCTCATCAATTTTTTACGTGTATATAGAGTGTTGATTTTTTCTTCTTAGAAGACTACAGATCCTCCCAAAGATAACAAAGACACAAACAGAAGCCTAAGTTACCAACGGTCTGTACAGCAGAGAAGCCCTCTGGTACCTTCCCAATACACTGCAGGGTTGAAATTCTCCTCTAGGGAAAAAGACACAATTATCTAAGTGTGAAATCCGAAGCCAGAGGGCTGTACCCAGTGTCTATAATGAGGAAAAACTAGGGTCTTACAAGGGATGCTATTTTAAAATATACTAAATTATAGTGACATAAAACATTTTTATGTGTTTGGTAAATAGTGTAGATATTCTGAGCAATGAGAAAGGGAGAAGCATTTAGTGTAAGAGGGAAAACACTGATGTTATTAACAGTGCAATGTACGCCTGTGGGTGGGCTGCTAGTTCTTCTCATCCTCTTACAGTTCTCCAGGGAAGAAGAGCCTTCCCATGGTCTCCAGATGGGACACACACAACGCTCAAGGGGCTAAGCAGTAGGACAAGTCCACCCAACCAGACTGCAGAGCCACGCCCCAACTTCAGAGTCCCACTCCACAGCACAGGGCTCCTTCTTTTGAGAAGAGATGCCCAAGATGTGATACTGAAGATGAAAATGTCTTAAGTACTCACTGGGTTCTTATTCTTTAAAGACTTACAGCCTCTTAAAATCACCCCAGTAAGAAACCTAAGGGAGAGCCTCTCTTAAGACTTGTTAATGAGACACTGCAACCTAATGTACAAGCCACATTAGATCTCTTTTAGAGGTCATTGATAAACGGAACCCTTTCCTAAGGTGATCATCTATAGAACAGTAAAACACGAATTTCTAAGTGTACCTACTCTGGTAACTGTTCATGACAGCTTCAACAATAATCTAAATCTCCAGAGTAGCATTAAATCAAGACACATTCATCAATCTGTTAAATACAACTATGTCTCTAGGTGATTGGATCAGAGCAAAATATCCCAATTTCCTTCTGTGGTCATAAGTCTAAATCCATCATGCTCAGAGTAACCAAATGAGGGCTGTGGAGATAGCTCAGCAGACTAAACACTTACTTAGGCAAGCATAGGGAACAGGGCTTGATCACACACTGAGCCAACCACGGAGTCTGGGCATGGTGGCACGCGCCTGTCATCCCAGCACTAAGGAGGCTGAAAACAGGAGGATCACTACGAGTCTGAGCTGTTTAGTGGGACCCATACCAAATACATAATTTTTTTTTTTTAAAAAAAAAGGTAACTAAATGGTTCTTTACCACCCAAAAATGGGGCCATGGAAGCATTAAATCAATCAGATCCTCAAATATCACTCTAAATCAGTTCTCCCTGACATTAACTCCATGTAAGGTCACTGAAATATATTGTGGTGTGTGTGTGTGTGTGTGTGTGTATCATCATTGTTTGCACAATATAAGAAAACTGAACTATTTATACATGAGTTAGACCGCTGGGAGCAACAGGTGATCATCAGTTGGTGAGGCTGTCTGGCTTTGAAGGAAACAGCCACACGCAAATATATGAAGCAAACCTCTCCTACCTCCGCTCGTCCTTTGCTTACTGAAGAAACTTGAAGAATGCACTAAAACGCATGGGGCGGAGGGAGATAGACTCCTACGAATAAGATGCATTTGAACTACTGAAACACTTTGACAAATACTACCTGAAATCATGAAAACTGAAGAAATACAAGCAAATTTATATTTCTATATAAAAAATCACAAAAGCTAACATTCAAGGAAAGAGATTATAACTTTAAAGGAAAAAAAAAGAAAGGAATAAAAAAATTGAGACACAATTTTGACATGCTAAAATTCATCTTTAGACGTGGTGTGGGCATATTATGCTCCCTCTGCACTGTCCGTTTTTCCTAACATATTACTTAAGTACAGTAAGAAGTAACTGAGATGTATAATATTCATCCTGAGAAAATCACAAACATGCCAAGATGGTTAGCACTGCCCAGGTTCTCTGGGAAAAGCCTTGTCACAGTGCTTGCTCTGAAAGGAAAATGTCCTTATTTCTCCATCAAGGCTGAAACAGATCCCTACTTTTGATTTTCCAGAATAATGCCAGGATTATATCAATTATTTTAAAATAGTTCAACTTGTTGAGGAAAAAAAAAGTTACTTAATACCTTGAAAATGTTATTAAGTACATGCTGTGCTAGAAGTGGCCCAGGTGCTTTATACTTGGGCTGACCATTTGCTTAGTAAAAAAGTTTACAAGAATTCAACAAAGGTCATAATGTGGGAATGAATGAAAAGGACAGAGAGTTTGAGATTTTTCTCATGTCAGTGGGGATGTCTTGGGCTGTGTTAAACCAAGATTATATACCACACAATCATCTAAATTGGATAAGCCAGGGTGACAGGGATAAAGTGAGCTTGTACCCAGCAAACAGTGCATGTGGTCACTAATCAGCCATTATTTTCTGAAAACACTCTAAGCTTTACTTCTTAATTTTGAGGAAGAGTCATGCAGTTGTCCAGGTTAGCCTTGAGCTTTCAATCCTCCTGCCTCAGCTTCCTGCTCAGATGGAATTACAGGAATGTAATTCACTGTTCTAGTTATTTCATCCATTTTTTTTTATCAGTTCCTCACATGGTGTCTACACTGTAAATGTTCAGTAATTTAAAGATGCAGAGGTAAACTGGGTTTATGTTTCACCATAAATTACTTTACCAAGCACTTCCCAATTGCTCTGCAGTTCCAGAACCATACTTTGTTTTGAAAACGCACCTAATGGAATGTTTAGCACCTATCATGCTAATGATTTCTTCCTTCTGCCTCAATTACTGTCTGGAAAGTAACTCAATTTCTCTGTCTTTATTCTGCTTGAAACAATGTGAAGCCACATTAACTTCGTGTCTTTACAAATGGAAAAAAGATAGTACAGATAAGCACCCCTTCTCCCCAGTACTGGGGTCATCGGTGTGTGCCACCAGTTCTGGCCAGAGCTGGCTTCTGATGTAATACTTTGGGGCTAGCCAGGTTTCACATGAAGTTAAGCGTATTTGCAGGGGAGAGTGCAAGACACCTGTGCTCGTGCCGCAGCTCCTGCGGCTCAGACACCTGGTGTACAGCCGCGGAGGGAACGACTAACCGGCAAGGAGGACAGTCTCGGGTCGGACAAGCGCTCTCTATTTTGTTGCCTGAGTTAATTCCCATTTATGTCATTTTCATGCATTTTGCTTTAGGTTTGCCTCTAAAAGCAAAATACAAATTCTATTTTCTAAAAGTTTCACTTCCTAAAAACTCCTGAAGAAACTATGCTGTGAAGCAGTGAGTCACCTTCCTATAACTCCCACAAGACCATTCTCTCTCTCATTGCTGCATGTCAGGGAGACAAGAAAAGGCTGACTCAGAAGCTTTTGTGACAATATGACTTCACGCATTCCGTAAGTTTGAAATTTTTGATAAAACAAGCTCAAATATCATTTTTACCTTATTAGGTCTTGTTCTTGTCTATATTAGCAGCCACTCCCTCAATTAACTGAGCACATATGAAAATCTATTTCTAGAAAAGGACTACGTATAATTAGCATTCAGTATGCACGATAACCAGCAGCGTTTCATAATTAGGGGATTCCTAGACATATATTTAATTTACTAATAATTATCTCCTCAAGTACTTATTAGGAATGTGCAATGGCTTTAAAGGCTGTAAGGAAATGATCCGTATCTGGAAAATCACAACCAGATTTTGTGACTATTTCTGAAAACACTGCTTTTGGAAAATTTATAAATAAGATATTCACACAGTGAACATCAGTAGGAAATTTCTGCTGCGTCACCGAGTAGGATGGCTTTTATTTATGACTCCCAGTCTCAGAAGGTCTGAGCAGCAGTGCCCAAGCCCAAACCCTGAGGATGCAAACGAGAAGGGTGGTCATCCTGTTGGACTAGCGGCGCTTTGAATGCAGACAATTAGGATTTTTTTTTTTTTTTGCTCCGAATGCCTTCAGGGCAGGTTTGGCTAGCTTGAGTTGTGGGGATGGAACCACAGCCACCTGAGCCTGACAGCTTTGGGGAAGCAGCCACTTAAAGCACTGAGCTACGAGGCAGGCCCCCAACGCAGACAATTAAACAGAGAAAAAATTCTGCAATTATAAGAGGCTTTGTGGATCATTTCCATTTCATATTTTTATAAGGTTTCACTTCAAATACAATTTTATTGGAAATCAGTTAACACTAAATGCTAGTGTTAGATGCATTCTAACATAAAGCTATATCTCAGACCTTAGTGAATGTTTACTAACAGGTCCATAAGCTGGGACTGTAACAAATCATTAAGTACACAGTTATCAAATTCCTAATGTGGGGTGATGAATGTAACAGCTGGTTAACTAAAACACTGATTTAATTCTAATATGAAAGAATTTAAAAATAGAAATGTGAAAGGAGAGCAAAACATTTACTTCCTCTGAATGACATTATCAACTGAATAAATGTCCTTCGCAAACATAAGTTGTCTCCCAAATATTTTTAAATTGTTACTAATTCATATTTTTAAATAAACAAAATCTTGACCTGCTTTCTAATGCACCATAAAATAGCAAGAAAAACTGAGTATTTTCAGTTAAGTTTCTGAATTTTTCTCTACTGTGATAATTTTTGCAAAAGCTGACTACATAACAAATATTTCAAAAGGAAAGTATTCTCAAAGTTTGAATATGCAATTAAGGATATTTTCACAAAAGTATAAATAATGTTACCCATTAAAATGGCAGCAAAACCAGGCGACTTACATTCCCACCTGAGATGTGTGCTCTTTTTTATTCTAATACTTCTTGGGTTTATGGTGTGAGTTGGCCACCTGATAGAAAC